CCGCGGAACGCGCAAGCAATGTTTTACGCCTGTGCCTATTTACTTTATATAAACATTTAATTTTAATGGCCGAAAGCGTTGTACAGCGTGGTCCCGGACCGAGACGGGTTTGAATGAGCGACGAACTGGAAACGGGGTTTCTGGAGTAATTCAGCGGTATGACGCACGCGAGCCGCAATTCCCGCGTTCAGGTTGAGGCGGCTGACATCAGTTTGCCGCATTTAGCGTTAGTGGAATTAATTGTACGATGCACGAACGTCCGAGCGAAATAAATGCCCGACAAGGTGGAAGAATACCGGTCGCGATTGGCCGTTCGCGCATCGTACCTCGTCACAATGATGGTAATTCGGGAGGAAATTCCTCTCATAAATATTCCGACTCGTAAAACGACATGATGATGCGAATAAAGATATATCTGCGTATATGTATATACACCTGTATGTGTGTGGATTTGTATATATATAGGGTGTCTCGTTTCTACCGTGTTATTATTTCAATGGCAGATCTTCTGGCCAAATTCGAATCAACTTTTTCATAGGAAAAAGAGACCTTTAACGTACTTTCTGGCTTTCTTCTTTACGACACTTTATGTGTGATGAAGAGTTGCACTTTGCATGCGCGATTGACCTTTCTGCGAGTACGAAAAATGCATCGATGAAAAATTTCGGGTTTGTAATATCCGAAAGTCTCGCCTTTTTGCATCTCTTCGCCTTTTCATGTTGCACGTTAATAACGACATTACGAAGCGGTATGACTGCGAGTGAGGTAATTAACAAGAATATCAGGTACGGTGGAATAGCTCTTTTAATTGCTTAGTGGAATTTATATGGCGAAAACAAAGACGCTGTTATGTGTCAATTAAAATAAAGATATCTCTTCATGTTTCTTCATTAACTACATTAGCAGAAAAATATGTAAGAATTAAATCAATTGCACAAGAATAAAAAAGTAATTTAAATTTATGAGGTTTTTAAAATCGAATTGATAGATAAAAAACAAAATGAGATTGTAACAGATTTATATAATTTTCGCTAGTTAGATGTAAAGATCTCAGAGTCCCTTTGTGTCAAAATAGAATTAAAAAGAAATATTAAATCTTGCGAATTATAATGTCATTGTTCTGATAGTTTCCGCACTTCTCTTTTCTATGAATTACTTGAAGGGTTTTTGAAAGTACAAAAACTTTTTTCAATTTAAAGATTGCTATTCTTTAAAGTTCATCATGCAAAAATTTTAATTGAGACTTTGCCTGTTTGGAGTCTAAATTGTCATCTGAAAGATGATGTATGTTGTCATTTTCTTAAGTGGCAACATTTCCATTAAGCTAATGAAGACGAAAATGTGATTAAACTATGTAATTATGTATGCTACATAAAATCGCACTTAGATATGCCTACAGTGCATATTTTGATTTCACAACGAATGCTAATGTAGCATGTTACTAAAAATGTGCTCGCACTCACAAATATTTATACAATATATCAATATGTGTGCAAATATAGACAAAGATAAGAGAGCACATCTCAATACGCATCTTAGACACTCCTGTTTTTATGATCGTCTCGTAATTTTTCACCTCTCTTTTTTTCCGTGAGCGTGGAATGCATATTCAAAAACGGTGACTCGGTAGACGCCGCGAAGACGTTTTTACAGCGCGCGAACGAAAAACCGTACGTCTCGAAGAGAGCGCCTCGTCTCTCATTTCGTGGTCACAGTGTTATCGAAGGTCGCGATTTCTCGCTCAAAATGTCAACGTGAACGTCCAAAGTCCGCGCGAGATCGTGAAAACTCGAATACGTATTACGAAACCGCATATGGCCGATAACTCGCGCATTATCGCGCTCGCAGGCGCTGGCAGGCGTCTCAACGACGATAATTCTTGTCATCGCGACACCGTACACATGCTTTTCGTTGTTAATAACAAAATGGAGGTGTATCGCGTCATAACAATCCGATAATTCATTCTGTTTATCGATGTTCAATTAATTTGAAGAAGAAACCTTATTTTTGATGCTACTTTGGAATTGCGACGACACGACTATATATAGCATTAACTAGCTATGCATAGCTTCGTAATAATTTTATCTAGATATTTTTACATCTTTATATTTTTCGAATAATAGAAAGACGAATGAATTTGGTTAAAAAAAGCGAGAGAAATGAAAAGATATTTGTATAATTACAGAGTATATACACTGTAATTCTTACAATGTTCTCTTTTATCTTTCGAAATTGTAGAACGACAAGATGTTATATAATAGCGTGATATTCTTAGAGTCTATATCCATCGATATGCTAAACAATATGGTTTCTTACGTGTATAAAAACAGCCAAGACACACATTTCGGAATTATTAATGTGGAAACGCGATTGCGCGGGGATGGTGACGGGGTACCGTGTACCGCCGTGTAGTTGCGAATAAATAACGGTGTTTAAACAGGACGACCGTCTCTCTCGAAAATTATGAGGTCGCCCCGTGGCTGTTGCGGCCCGTGACTCCGGTGGAATCCCGTGTTTTGCGCACGGAAGGGGAGAATGCAGCTGCACCGGCGATTAGTCGAACGCGTGACGTCAATGGCTTGTCTTTGCGAAAGTCTCGAGAGGAAGGTATAGCGAGAGACTCAAGGAGAGCCATTAAATGGTTCTCCATGGGAGCACCATTCTCGCACATGCAAGTGCCTTACCGCCGAAGCCAATTAGATTTTCCAAAACTCCTTCGTTTCTTGATAATGAAATAATTAATTACATCTCTTAATGTAAAGTGACGCAAGAACAATAAGAGCACGAAGCGTCTGTGCAGTTGTCTTATCTTACGTGCAGAAAGGTTTCCGGAGTTTCAAATATAATATCTCGACGTTAATGATCATATTTGATTGAGAGTGCTGATCGGGCGTTTTTTCAGAGACGCGAATATTTTCACGCAGTTGGGAGACCGACGGCCGAGTCTCATACCATGGTTTCGCGCGTAGTAAATCCAGGAAGATTCTTCTCCCGAGAGAGGTGCATCGTTCTTAGATTCCATCAGTATATAGATAAACATTCTCTTTCTCCTCTCGGAGCCTTTCGAGAGGCTCCGGGAGAGAATAAGCAGTATACGCTTTTGCCGTGTGCTCGCTCGTATCTCTTTGGAGCTCCCATGCATCCGTGCGCTCGTGTATGTACGTGAAGCGTTCGCGTGCGTTTACGTGCACGTGAAGTATTCTCGTACGATCAAAGTGGGAGAAGTATTGTGTCTCTACGTTTGTCTGAGAGCGCACGCGCGCGCGCATGTGTCTGTGGGCATAATCGTTTATTTCGCGTCGACCTTTGCGGGGCACTACGTCAAAATGTCAGATGCGACCCCGCCTGAGCGCGAGGGAAGATGCACTGGGAACGCTGTAATGGGCTTACAAAGCGTAACAAACTGATGCGAGGTCAAACACACGACGGGCAATAAACACACGTAGAGATAAATGGGCCCTTAAGGTGCACCACACCGGGGCCCGCCGGGAGGCGGGCGTTTCGTCTCTCTCTCGACGCGCCTATCTCCGACGTTTTGTTTGCCGCGAGATGAGCGCCGACGCGATCCGAGGTCGCGATACCCGAAACTCTTGCTGCTTGTCCCGCTCTTTTCAGAAATCAGCATTCTGGTTCATGAAAACAATTGTCACTTTTTCAGACGCTTTTAACGAATCTATTTATGATGATTCTACTTTCGTCTATTTATAGATATATATATTTTTAGATATATTCGATATACATATATACTTTTTCTGGACGTTAGCATTACGACTTTTTTTTCACAACGCGACGTATTTCTTCTTGAGCTTTACATCGACTTTTTCTTTATGAGAATTTATGCGAATATTCCGCAATATTCATAATTCATCTCTAACTTTTATAGACTCCGTCGTATCTCCTCATTCGTATTTCTCGTTGCCAACATAAGTACAGTTAAATGTAATTGATTAAAGGTAATTTTTAGTTTATTTTCCCTTGTTAATTCTCTTCGGTTTCGGTTAAGTCTTGAAACAGTCGCACGTCCCGGGCTGCAGACAGTACGATCGCCATGAGCGACTCGCGAAGCGTAACAAACTGACGCGGGGTCAAACGCAAGACGGGCAATAAACACGCTGAAAGATAAACGGGCAATCGGGTCCAGCCCGGGGCCCAGGTCTCCGGGGAAAGTGTTTCGTCCGCGGTACCGCGAACGGCGCGATTTTCGCTTTCGCGCGGATCGATATGAAGAACAACATATCGTCCGGACTACAAAAGGTGATTGGGTTTATTGCCTCTCCCCCTTGTACGTTTATAACGTACGTGCGCGTTCACTTTACGATCCAGCGAACAGTTGTCGAGGCTCACCTTACTCGTTACTGCCGCGCTATCTCCTGTGGGAATTTTATTTCTATCGTAGAGACGATTCTTGAGAGAGAAACGTATTGCGAAATCCGACGCGATTATCTGTTATTATCGAGCGCGTCGAGAGACACATCATTTTTTTTTTTTTTTTTTTTACTGAATCTCCGACCTTCGCGGAAGTGTAATCGTGTAATCGAATAATCTGGGGTGCAACCTGGAGTAAATTGTTACATATGATTAATATAATGCGTTCCACGAGATAGCTACAATGTATAGAATGATTGAATAAGCTTTCGAGGAATGGATCTAGTGATTTTCTTTCTCTCTGTGACGCGTCTCTTTCTCGCGCTTATGCAACGTTACCGCGGCCGGTGCCACCATTATGCGTTCGCATAGGCGCGATTGCCGGCCGACCACCACAAAACCACAATCGCGTTCTAATTACGAGCATTAGCCACTTACGGTCAGGAGTGCCCCTCGTAGATACTCTCTCGGATCGATCTAGCCTTGGCCGCGACGGGCCGCGAGAAACGTCTCGCACGTCAGGCGGCGGGCGGGCGTCTTAGCGCGCCGCTTTCTCTTCTCTACATTTTTTTTTTTGCGAGCTAATCGTGCCGAATGACGGTATGTACGATCTACGATCTTCGATTCTCTTTCAGATGCCGCAGACGGTGCCCACCGCGGCCGGTTACTCGCCGTCGTTCGACTACAGCACTTTTCAGTTCGATTTGTCCCTCCTGCCGGACGATTACAGCCCGACCGGCGGCCAAGTCTGCCTGAAGAGCTTGCAGATCAAGCAGGAGGCACGCTCGCCGCGCCCGGGATCGCCCACGACCTACCAGAGCCCGCCGTATCCGAACGGCGAGTTGCCGTTGTCGCCCAACTACTCGCACGAGGGATCCTCGCCGGGGTACCCGACGAGCCCCTACTACGTACCCAGGAGCCCTCAGAGCGCCCAGTTTTACCCCACCAGCCCGGAACCGTCAACCAAGCAACCGATCAAGAGGGAGAAGAGTCTCGATCTTTTGGCAATCCTTCAGGAATCCAGGTAGACATTGCGACTTTTTTTTATGATTTTGTGAGATAGCTGACATTCATTTTAAAGACGCGCAAATACTTGGAAAAATTTCTAATCGATTTTTTTTTAACGGAAACATCAAAAAAACTTTTTTTCTTTTTACATTACAACTAGAGATTTTGGAGATTATATATATATATGATTATTACGTGATTATTACGACGCGCGCGAGATTAAAAATCGCTAATCGCTCGCATTTAGTATCATACCTGAGTGCCATTATTTATCGCATCCGTCGTTTTCTTCGTTTGCAATCTTTTAACGGGAATGGACCGCGCATTTTCGCATGATTACAGACTCTTAGCCGAGAGTCTGGGTTACCGCGAGGACTCAACCGACTGCACGGTGCCCTGTACTCCGCCTCGAAGCGAGGAGGATATCTATAATAGTCTCGACGCCGACTTCCTGCCGAAGAAGGAGGACACCGGCGTGCAGGGGCACCCGTTGCTCAAAGAGATCCTCTTCAAGGAGGAGCCTCGATCCGTCTCTAGTAACAACGGTTCGTCGCCGTCCCCTTCCTCATCTTCGCCCAGTCCCTCGAGCGAGTTTGAGAGTAGTTCAGCGTTGCACGAGCTCCTCTTTAAGGGCGTCACCCTTCGCAAAGACGTGGCGGAGATTTCCAAGACGAGCCAGCCTAAGGTGGAACGAGGCTCGCGAGAGGAGCTGGCGAATCCTCTGCGAAAGGAGGAGGAACTCTTCAAGGACGGCCAGAAGAGCGATCACCAGCTATTGCGGGAAGTGCTGAGGGACACTAGTTTCCAGAGGAAGTACAATCTAAGACCCGTCGATCTCGGCGGCGTCGGCACCGGCTTTGTCGAGGACATGGAGGCTGGCGAATGCGTCGGCGATCTCGCCCGCGAGCAGCTCGAGCCGGTCCTCAGTCTGGCCATCCAGCAACTGCAGAAGGACTTTGACAACACCTGCGTAGCGCTCGGTATTCACCCAGGTGAGAGATTTTTTTAAAATTCCAGAAAAATTTAATTAGAATTTTATAACACAATTTTCTGTTGTCCACAAGATGAATCGCGTATCTCGATTATCATAATTTTTTTCATTGAAGCACACAAAGTAGCTTTGGAAACTCATAAAGAAATGCACCGAATTTTTTTTTTGTAAGCATTGCGAATTAATCAAGACAGCACAAGTTGTGGTGTCGTGGCATATTTGTTATAATCGTAAATACCGGATAATGAAATAAAGAGCTGAATTGATAAAAGATGTGATATAAAACCATATGCCTTATGATTATCGATACTATCTCGCTGGAGATTAATTGCAAGTAATGGAGAGTAAGTGCGTATATCCTTATATAAGCACGCCATTTCTATAATAGTCGCCGTGACAATGGCTACAATCACGTGCGCGTTAATTATTATTATTATCAACCTTACGGTAATCATCAAGTGAGATTTATTCCCGCGTTTCTTAAGGTTTTATCATTACATCTTTTACTAAGATCATCTCGACAATGTAAGTCTCGCAAGAATGATCTTTTCGTGATTTTTAATCCTCATCGTTTCACACGGTTATAGATTGTAGCGCGCTTATTATCGTTCTGTAACTTTAAGGACTTAAAATCGAGTCAAGCACCTTTTTTTTTTAATCTGGTCTGTTAAACTACTTATCGTGGTCACAGTTCTGATGCAATGCTGAGATTCGTCGATATCTCACTTTTCCATCTCTATATAAACTCTCTCCTCGTGATCAGACACTGTGGAAATTCACTCCGTGCCACTCGATGATGTATGGACGACATGATTACGAGCGAGCCATCAGAAATTCCGACGCGCACTTTGGTTTTCTCGGTTAAGTATCGGCTATAGCCTCGTTCCGTTAGACCTTCTCGTTACCTTGCCGCAGGCAGTAATTTCGACGTCGTCGTCGTCGTCGTCGTCGTCGTCGTCGTCGTCGTCGTCGTCGTCGTCGTCGTCGTCGTCGTCGTCGTCGTCGTCGTCGTCGTCGTCATGGTTTTCGTATTCGTTGTCGTCGTCGTATATGCAACTAGTTCGTCTATTAATCTGAACCATGATGTCATACTTTAAATAAATTACCAAGTGTTGTGTATCGGCATGCTTTCACGCGGAGTTACGAAATTACGGCGCTGTGCCGTGACGAAGATCCACGTCATCGATATAATTACGCCTTACAGATTTGTGTTCCTTATACCCTTCTACGCTCGTATACGCGACTACTTCTGCGCGATGTCGTAACACACTCTAAGATTAGTCTTGGAGGATACGAATATTCGTGTAATTTGAAAAAAATCTCGTCAGCGATCGGCTCTCCAAGTTTCTGATTTTTTTTTTGATGCCGCGTTTTTCGGTTGGCGACCGCTAACGGAGGAGTAACGTCAGATTTCCGGCGTTTATAATTGCAGAGCCCAGACGCTGGAGCGCGGCGGATGTGGCAGCCTGGGTGCAGTGGGCCAGGCGGCAACTGCAATTGCCCTCGGTGCCAATGGAGAGCTTCAACGTGGACGGCGCAACCCTGGCCTCCCTCACAGAGGAGGAATTCTGCCAGAGAGCACCCCAGGTGAGCGAACATACTTTCATCCAAATTATCTTACAACGAAACTAGGGCGTAGCAACACTCAAATAATTATGTACATAGATGATTATAAAATATTTTTCTTCACGTTTATTATTTTTTCTTCGTAGCAAAGATTTTACTGAGCGCGGCATCTTTTCTTATAATTTTTCCATTTTTCCATTTTCCTGTAAATATTTTGCACGCAATGATTGAATTTGCTTCAAGAAAATTCTTATATAGTCGGATTAAATATAAGTGAGAAATAAAAGATTTACTTGTTTTCTTGAAGCTTTCCGCGACAGAAATAGCTAAATGTAGGTATCTATATTCAGACATCGGTTTCAACCTTCGAGCAAAGAAGTCGCTTGAGATATTGTAAAAAAAAAATTTCGTATTAATTTCTTATTCTTTACTTTTACATCTTATCGTGTCCGACTTTTATTTTCTCACACACTACGCGTTAACCGCATACACGACTCTCAGCTTTGACGTGTACCGTTACGCAATGCCTTGCGTCTGCGATGATCGACCTCGTCGGGGATTGTACATACGTGCTTTCGACGAATCAATCAGCCGCGTGATTTTCGAAATGCTTTTATTTCACGTTGATGTAAGGAGGTCTGACGTGACAGCCAAGGAAAAAACAACACTTAAATTTGCGCATGAGTTTTTTTTGCATGACATTCTCTCCGTATTTCAGTATATGGATGTTCGATGATGTTAGCAACAATAATAAAGTAATACCCAATCTTGCGAAAATGCATTCTTATCTGCCTCATTGATATCGTTGGATTTTTTACAAAACTTATCTCTCGTCGCGTCGCGAAAATTTATAATAGATTTTGCATTTATCACCGTAATTGTCGTGTTATGTGCCGTATTTTATTTGTAATTTCTATTTTTGATAGCAAAAATATTTTCGTGAATCACGTATTTAAAATTAAATTATTGTGTATTACTTATTTCATAACTAATTAATTTTGAATAAATGTCAGTGCTTATCAGGGAGAGCATGCATGATATAATAGCAGGATGAATGTGAATCAGTTATAAATTCACGTGTCTCGGTGAAATTATGGCAATTAAGTTTAAATTTGATAACCAGGAAAGTTACACGCAACCAGCGAGCGTGATTTTAACTTCATCCGTCATTATCGTAACGATCCGCGAGCGTCGTGCGCAAGTTCGCGTTCGTTTGATGAAGAAACCAGAGGGGGATTTGAGAAATGTCCGTTGCCGAGGTCCGGTGAAAGTGAATTTCCTGGTAATCGATGCGCGTTTACGTTTCCTTCCGCGTAATCCCTACCCGAAGAATAAATGGTAGAATATATACGTCGCTCAAGATTTCGACATAACGTCACGGGATCGGAATTCCCCCGAGAATCATCTGGCGTGTGAAAGTTACACGTTTGCGTCAGGGATACGGTTTCAGGGAAAGAGGCCCTAAAAGATTGTCCAAGGTTGTAGCGAAGTCTCTTTTTACTTTTAATCTTCGATTCCGTTTTACCAGATTAAAACTCGTGTAATTTAATATTACAACGCGATGTCAGCGATAAGTACCCATGAGAAAGTTTGATCAAGATATATTATAAATTTTAAAAAACATAATCCCTCAATTATAATATTACTTTAAATAAAACAATATTTCGCATTATCATATATATCGAGTACCTTCGTCCCGCAATCTTGTCAGCTAATAATGACAATATCGATTTTGATCACAAATATATTTAGCGCACATTTACACTATAAATTCAATCTTCTATCTTGTCGCAAATAATGTCTGATTTATGCAATTGCAAGTACCATGGTTCGAAGAATGCACATAAAGTAACTTAATTACTTATAAGATATTATTAATGTGATTACTTGACGAATCAAAGTATGAAATTATCTTATGAATATATCATAATTCGAGCTGAGAACTAAGAAAACAACAAATTATGACGATTTCTATCTGCTAGCTTTTCTGATACTTGTGCATACAACAAGCAGTTAAGTCGTTTATTAAGTAACAAGTTTTATATCGCGCCATCGAGCGTGCTAAAAACCGGTTGCGCCAATATTGATTATACCTACTGCTGACTGCAGTTAACCCTAAACTTGACAAAGCTAAGAAAATGAACTTGACATTGCATTATAAGATGAATTATTTTTAACAAATTTGTTTCTTCTATAAGAAGCGCAATCTTCTCTTTTTACAATTACAGTACATTTCATTCGTTGATCATTTTCATTAGTACGGTGATTATATAGTAAAAAAGGACGAAGAGTAAAATATATTTCTATGCTTCATTAACGAAGAATTAATTTTTTTTCCGTCACCTTCCTGAATCCGTCGAAGAAAAACAGGAAACATCAAAGGCAGTTAAAAACTTGTAACATTATCGATGCCGTATAAACTCCGGATGATTATGTTATGTTTTTAAATCGTAAGCACGTAAATCTTGGAGTCCCGTCCCGTCGATCGATGCGTATCTCATTATTCGAAGAGAATTACAGGCGTAAGTCTAACGGAAATTAATAGCGAGTAGAGTAGCTGGGTGTATGGCGAGCAGCGGGGAAGTAGTCATGCATAATGGATTCCGCTTTGCGTCTAGTAATTGGATAATCGCGCTGCGAAGTATCGCGGTAGTTCGCGTAGCGTGGAATCATGGTCAGGCTTATGGTCACGTTCTATCTGCGATCTCGCAAAGTCCTTTCCTCGTTTGTTTGTGCTTCGTTGATGCGACGTGCGGTCGCGTTTCCTTCGCGGACTTCATTCATGGTTCAATTCACAAATGTGCACGCATATTTCGCATCGTCTGTTCAAAGGTTCATTCTGCCGATTTGACTTTACAATTTGTACGCGCGATTTTATTCAGTTGAATTTAAAATTAATATTTAATCTTTTTTTTTAACCGTTTAGTATATCTCTCGAATTCTCACAAATGTGCGATGCTGCATTTAGGTATTTTTTAAATCGAACAAAAGGTAAAATATTGAAATAAGTGAAAGAGTAGAAAATTGGATTGCATTTAATGAATGGCGTTTAATGCTGACGTGTAAGCCTCGGACGAGTCATGCCACGTTCGCTTGTCGGCTTCTCGAGGAAATAATTACGGCATTCTTTGCGGTTTGGCATCGCGTTTTAATGGCGGCGATTATCGATACGCGAGAATATTTGTTTCTCGGAACATTGCGAAGTATCCGAGTATGATTGCGCCGCTGGATGAGGCACACACAGGAATGCTCTGCGCGCAGATTACATTGGCAGATCGAAGGAAATGCGCTTCGTTATAAAGCACCACGCGATCTAATTTCAACAATTCATACAAAATTCTGCAAATGATTGTTATAAATTCGGAATTGTTCGGAGTAATAGCTAAATAAATATTGCCCCAATCACTCGAGATGGAGTCTCCCATCAAACGGGCATCTCGCCTCTCCGCGGATGTCGGCGCGTTTGTGCACCGTGAGGATAACCATCGAGGATGTAACGGCGATGTGGAACCGCGTCCGAAATAAATATGTATATGTACATGCGTGCGTGCGTGCGTACATACCGCTTCTCGAACACTCATTCCGCGATCAGCAGGATCGGCTTTACCCGTGCCTACCGGTGCGCGCGCCATTGGCTCGGCAGAAACGATCGAGAAGTGGGTCAACCGCTCGAATGTCTTGCCTGCTGCGTTGCGTCTCTCTCAACGGAGCCGCTTTCTCTTCTCTCGCGCACAACGACGTCAACGACTCTTCCGTTGGAATTCTAACGCGCTCCTAACGCGCGCGCTTTTCTATCTCCGTCTATCTCCCTTATATTTCTCTTTCCTTTTTTTTCTCGCATCTATTCTTCCCCGTGCACGCCTTTCGTTTTTAATCGCCCCCCGTGATCTTGAAGGCAAACTAGTTTTGGTCTTCAGTACACCTCGATCGAATATATTTGATGTATTATAATGGACTGACAATGAGTTTGTGATTGACTGAGTTTGTTTGAACTTTGAACATTGACGAATGCGCTATTTAATACGTAGAATGTCCACAAGCTATGGATAATTAGGCTAATAATGCCGATACGACTGTTTATGTTGAAGTGCGGAAGCATGCTGCACGCGCAATTGGAGATCTGGAAGGCCGCCGTCGAGGAGTCGCCGCGGAACACTCTGGCCGCTTCCTGGAGTCCCACGGGAGTAGTTCAGTCTCCGAACAGCGCCGTGACTCCGACAGTCGGAAACGCAACGGCAGTTAGCCTCAAGGAATCTCCCTGCGCCATTGATTTCTCAGATGGTACGTTATATGTTTCTTGTATTATTTAGAGGACCATTATTTATCGAATGATCATTCATCTTGAAAAAAATCAAGTGGACTTGCCTGACTTTCCACGCGCGAATAAAACGTAACGCACCGCGCGTGCGAAGTTGAACTACCGATACTGATAACTATATAAGCGCGATATAAATCAGTCTCGCTTCTTCTATCCCTCACCCCTTGCGTTCCTTTGATTTCTCTGCGTGCAGACGAGGACGAGGATTGCGCTTCCGCTCAGAGCGGCGGTAACGGTGGCAATGGCGGCGGCAAGATGCGCAACGGTGGCAGCCACATCCACCTCTGGCAGTTCCTGAAGGAGCTGCTGCAGAGCCCGAGCGTTCACGGCTCCTGCATACGCTGGCTCGATCGCAACAAAGGGGTCTTCAAGATCGAGGACTCGGTGCGCGTGGCGCGGCTCTGGGGTAAGCGGAAGAATCGGCCCGCGATGAATTATGACAAGCTCAGCCGCAGCATCCGGCAGTACTACAAGAAGGGCATCATGAAGAAGACGGAGCGCAGCCAGAGACTGGTTTACCAGTTCTGCCATCCTTATTGTCTATAAGGGATATTGCTTCGTTTCTCCTTCCGCCTTCCCTCTTCTCCCCCCTCCCTCCCCTCTGTCTTCTCAATCTCTTCCTTTGTGCGAGTACAGGCGCCCGCGATCTGGAGCGAGTGACTTCGCGAAGAAGAGCCCGGCGCAAAGATCAAAAGGTAAAAGAAAGAAAAAAAGAAATAATGATCCGCCATGCTCGATATTATCCCGCGATGATAACGTCGAGCCACGGTTGGGTCCGCTTAGTACGCCCGTTTTGGGCGATCACTTTCGCCTTATGATTTATTCCCCTCTTTTCCCACTCCCTTTCACTTTCCCTCTCTGTCTCCTACGCGTGTGTATGTGCGTGTGTCTTTGAGTTTTCTTTTTCTTTTTTTTTCTCTTAAACAATAATATATATTAAGCACGCGATTCTCCACCGGGTCGGTCTTTCGTTTCGACGAGACTCTCGTCGCGAGGCGAAGACGCGAGCGGGTGGAAATTCGCCAAGAGAAAAGGGAAGAAATGACTCTTTCCTCTCTATTCTCACGATCGCTTGTCGGCACCTGTTCGTCGGATCCTCGAGCTGTCTGATAACACATACGCGATACGTCGACACCACACTCAGCGCGCGGAACTATTCGCCGCTGCCTGGTGCGCCGCTCCGTTTCTCGAAACGATAACGAACGAAGATGAAATCTGGGGAGACAATCTATTTTTTATACGAAAACTTTTTTTCATTCGTACACGCGACGCGACGCCGTCCTTCCGTATTGCAAACAAGCGAAGATACGGAATTAAGAAGAAATGAAACGTCAATCTCGCAGGCGTAATGTCGTATACGTATCTGACGGTAGATGAAAATATCTTTGCCGACATAATCATTACCTGTTCGCGACGGGATAAGATAATTACATTTGTTAATTACATTTTTGCGCATCTTACGACCTCTGACACGCGCAGAGTTCGCGGAAATATTTTTACCAATGCGCGCGCAGGAAGGTGTTTATTAAGTTGTCGAGAGTGCCTTAGACACGTGCGGTGGGAATCACGATGATGAAGGACGCGCCGCATTTCGCGAATGATTTCTGATCGAAATCACGGACGATGGTCGTCGCGAGAAATTTCGCGCCCGCGATCGACGGTCGCCCCCGTAGATCGATGATCACGAGGGCTTTCCGTTCGGGAGAACGGCGAGAGAAAGAGAACACACAATTATCGGCGATCGCGTTGAGCTCGAGGTCATCCCGGACTCACGACTGGTGCTGGTGATTTTGGTCCCATATATCTATGATATATTAAATACTGTATGTTCCATGAACGATTAGACTTTAAGACGATTTAGGTGCATAAGTGTATCGGGGACTCACGTGAGTCACCCTTAAGTTACTCCAAGAGATTTTTCTTCTTTCCCTCTTTCTTTCGCTTCTCACACTTTCGTTTCTCGTTGCAGCATTCGCACGATCGTGACTGCGACGTCAATCGCGTCGATCTTTCATGCTTGTAGTTATGCTCGTAAGCGGCTCTCATGCATTTCTATCTCATCCTTCTTTTCACCGCACAATATTATTGTTTAATCGAGTTCGAATTAACTTTCGGATTAACAGAAATTTCATTCACTTCTCCATTTCTATCACGCAAACTACCGGGAGATTGGGATTTCTTGTGTCATTCTCTGTCGCTTTCTCTTATACAAAATACTTTTTTTTTAATATTTAATAAGCTTTTTTTGCGATTTTAAGTTACAACGAATATGAAGCAATTAATGTAGAATTTTACAAATTTCGTAATTAAACATAAGATTTTTACTAACGTATCCACGTTCGCTCACCAATAGGTTGTATATACAGATATATATGACATAACTATTTTATATATTTGTTTTATTTATTTAATCGAGTCTGTTTTATAGTTGAGATAATGATAACGATCTTGCCCCGTGTAACGCTGGAAGCTCTTTGGCGTGGCATTCCGCTGATGCCGATTCTGTGACTGATATCGGTACCGTTTCACAGTCCGTTTGTGTAGATTACGGATTTAACCGTCGGAGATTATTACCCGTGGCTGTTTCTCGGCCGTGCGAAAGTGCAATTGACGAACAGTGCAATTACGTCCACGGTGCACTTGTTAGCATTGGACTTGAATAATTCTCAGCTCGCTGCGCGACGTTCATTGTTCAGAATCATAATAAGTATACAATGGATGAGCACGTTGCGTTACGAAGAAATTGAAAAACTGATTTGCATTTGTTTCTTGACATTTTACAAAGTATTCGTGACGGCGAACTATTCTCTATTATTTAATCACTTTAACAACTTGTATAATTGGTTTGCGAATTTAATGCTGTTCGACTGTAAATTAATACTTGCGACGAGTGATGATTCTTTAACGACGTGACATGCGGGCTGCTGAAGAATTCATTCCCTTGTTTCAAACGCAAAACTTAAAGCCAAAGAACACGGCAGCGTGAATGAACGAATACCAGATAGGTCGGTCGAGGAAATGAATTTGCTCGCGTAATTAGATCGTATCGTAAAGCGCGCTTCTACGGCTGCTGGATTTCTACGACGCGATACATAATTTTTTTTTTATGCGGCCTGGCATGGAACGCTCATCAAATCGGAAGTAGACCGAGGCGGGACCTCAAAACACTATTGTTTAATATGTCTAAATTAAAATTGAAAGATATTACAGATATTATACTGGCAATGAGGAACAATGGATTATCTCTTTTTGCCTTCAAATTTTTTATAAAAGATGTGATAATCTTAAGTTGTGTTTTATCGGTAGGTGAATTTTGTCTGTTACTTAACAAAATTACATAAATACGCGCAACGAGAAAAAAATGTCTTCTTATTTCTTGGTGGAATAATACGTTTCCGTAATCGCTAAAAGTATCTGTATATTGAAGATCGTCTGCAGTCCGTTTTGTGCCAGGCTTCACCGCATTCTGTAAGTTTAACGGTAGTTGATTCTTTAATTCCGCGATAAAACGCAAGGGAGACCCGAAAGCAGGAAGACAGGAGATTTATTCTCGATAACTGCAGAAAGAAAGAATGCGGTTCGTTGCCACAGATGAAACTAAGGAGCGAACGGTTAATTTTGCAGCTAGGCAGAGAGGCGAGAAGTATGATAAAATCGGATAACGTGAGTAACTTTGAATAGATCCTAATCGGGCGATGTGACATCACAAAACGGCCATTGTTGTGCATAACCGACTGTTTATTTATTAAATTATTAATTGCTAAGATAAAATTGTAAGACTAGAGATAACGAATATTTTAATACAGCATGTTTGTCAATAGACGTATTTCTGATATAAAATTGAAATTATTTTTTTTTTAACAAAAGTGGAAGATGTCGATATTTTCTGTAGCATAAATGATTAAGAAAAGAGAATTTATTAAAAAGTCTCTGTTTAGAGAATTTATTAATCGTTAATTAATTTGAAATGAATTTTAAACTTAATATTTTCATAGGTAAAAACAAAAAGTTTGTCCCGGTCACCAAATACGTCTATTGGCAAATATATATATATATGAGTATACATAATATCGTTATCAAATCGTTATAAGATTACTAATGTTGGAATTTATTAGAATCAGTGTAATTTTTACCTTATTGAAAGAAAGCTACGAAAAGTGGCTTGACGAGAGAAAATTGTGCTTCCATTTTTCATGATCTTTGATAATCGGGACATAATTATTGACGCGTAAAATTTTGTAAATATTTGTGACTAGTACACAAGAGAGTATATCTTTTTTTATCTGATAACCGTACAATTAAGGCGTTGCTGGTTTTATATGAGCAGAGATTTAATTAGGATTAAGCGTTGGTTTACGTTCTACGTAACCGGTCTTGTTCCGCAAGACATTTTGTTATGCATATATTATATATATTTATACACCCATGTTCGACTGTTCTAATGATATTAGGGTGGTTATGGCGAGTAGACGTGGTAATAATCGTAGTTGAGGCTGTTCTCAAAGCACGCCGGAAAATTGGCAAGAGAACAATGCTGTCGAAAATTGCTGCGTGGTCTGACGACAGATTAATATGGATTACAGACGGTAATTAGAAAGTTTAATATATCTATTTCACACGTGAACTGAGATAAGCCTCGACGAAAGCAATAATATTATTATTAACGATAATTATATATATATATATATATATATATATATATATATAATATATATACACGTATATATATTTTCTTACGCCAACATTTTTTGCTGCCGATATTCGGAGCGAATTACTAACACAAAGCAGACAAAAATAAAAAAGAATAAAAAATTTTAAACACGTGTTCAATATTTGTCCCTCGTCTTGTAGACTCCTGAAATTTGCGCTTGTATCATCCGCAATCCTTGGAACTTTCGTTACGCCAACGTTAAAATAACGGAACGCATTTTTTTTCAACATATTAAGAATTGCCCGACAGAGGAGGCGAAAGCGACAAGGTGAAAGTCTTTTGGACGAATTTCTAATCGTCGCCGATGTTGAGAACCGATCAATAAGCGAATGAATCACTCTATCTAAATTCTGCGCACGCAAAACGCGCGCGTGCGTCTTCAACAACTCATTAAGAAAATAGATCCTTTTGACATAATTGATGATTCAAAGAATACTTTTCGAATCTCTTATAAATAATATATTAATAATAATATATTATAATATATTATCTTAAAAACAATATTTCTCTCTCTTGAAATATTCTACAAAGGAGCGGCTTTATTTTGACATCTTTGCGCATTGATAAAGGTATAACGCATTTATGCACTTGATTTCGCGTGAAATCGAACAAGGGCGAGTATTTTCGCAAATCAAATTGATTATTAATCTCTCGTACATAGAATTCTCTTTAATATCACAAGTTTCGCGAGTAAAACACGTATGTATGAACTTCGTCCGACTGCTCGTCGATAACCGCGACGGGGGAGTGTATTTACTCTTGAGAGCTTTCCTCCGGAGGGAGCGATCCGGCCGGTGAGCCGGGCATTCCAATTTCAGGATCGACGTCTCTGGCGGCGCGAGGAAGAAGGGAACGCGGCCGAGAAGAAGGCGAGAATCTCGCCGCCATAAAGATTCGTATCGCTCTGGAAACGTCGAGGAGGAGCGCGAAGAGGCGTGCTCTTTCTCTCTCTCTACCCTTTCTTTCCTTGCACCCTCTCGTGCGCTCGGGCGAGTGGGCGTCCCTTTTCGAGATTTACGACGATTTAATCGCGCAATTAATCTAACACCTTGTTGCAACAACACTTCGCGCCGGAACGGCGGCGGGGAAGTAAAAATTTCGAGCGCGCAAAGGGGGGGAGAAATCGGGGCCCGCTTCGATCTATCGCGGTCGGTATCGCGGGGTCGGCGGAGGAGCTCCAGGTTTAACCACGTGTTAAAGGGGAGTAACGAGCAACACGCAGCGCGGTGGAGAGAAACGGGGGAGGGCGGGGGAGCAAAGGGCGAGGGAGAAGAGATAGCCGCGGTTTCATGGCGCGCGCGGTGCAATCATAAACGCCGCGAAGGACCGCGTATCGTTGGACCGCGATAAATGAGTCCCCGCAGTTTTATCGGGCCGCGCGCCTGCATTGTTTCGCGAAGCGGTGTAATTCGAGAGAGCGCGGATAAGTATCGCCTGGAATATGAAAATCGCTCGGTACCGATATATTACGATTTTCTCTTGTATGTGTAAAACAAAATACGCTACGAAGGATGATTCTAAAGATGTATTAACAGCAAACAAATCAAACGAAGCTGAATACGTGAAAAATTTAATTATAGCGTTAATAAAATAAAACTTGTCAATTATTTATAGCAGATGAATAACGCGATTATAAATTTACGTAATTAAGAACTGAGTTTCTAAAAGTGTTATACATATACCTTAATCTTGCCTAAAGAAAAATCGTAACATGTTACAATCATCACATATATTATAGAAGGATACATAATTCAAAGTTACACAAGAATCCAATATTGAAAAATGCATAAATAATTGACAATAAAGCTGTAATACAATATACACAGTTATATAAAAAGCAGCAGTTGTATCATAAATTCGCGCAATTTACGTAAATTCAATTCCATCCGACACGATCGTCGAACGCAAGACGTATATATAATTCGTCTTGTGAGATCCTCCAGGCTGTTGTTCTCGGCGACGTACAGACGGCGAGGACACCCCCGCAAACGGTTCGCGCTCGCTCTGTGTGTACGACCAAGGACAACAACATTCTCCGCAAAACTAATTGCCAGGTAAATATATACGAACAACGAGCGGCAGCGCGCGCGCACGTTTGTGTGCGTGCAGCGTTGCGGACGACACACGCGGGGGCCTCCACGGGGCCCCGTTGTCTATACGTCGGAATTTATTGCGCTTGCCCGGAGCGGCCGATAGCGGAGTGGGAGAGACACGGGAGGAGAGAAGAGAGAAAGAGTTCTCTCTCGGGCTCTCGTATACGAGAGCGCGTAATTTATGCTCTCATTATGCAACAACCGAGATTCATTACGGGCGACACGCGTTGTCTCGCGGATTCGGAGATCTCGATCTCGCGACGGACGATCCCGCGATGGGAGCGAAGGTGTCGAGACGGCGCAGCCGGGAAGGTCATGCCCTTTCGATGCGCTCGCGAAATCGGGGTGACCATCCTGCGCGCGATTTAGACATCGCAGAGAAACAAATCACAGCTGAGGGAAAGAATTTTACGTGAATTTTATTTTCAAAACAAAAAGCTTGCGTGTAATTTATTCTTTGAGATATTAAAAATTTATAATTTAAATTTGCTTCCTTTTTTCATGTGATGTACATATATAATTGTTCGATGCAAATGGTGAACTCACTTTCAAGCACGCGAATTTTGCGTTTGTTTATTAAATCGTGAAATTGCAATATAAATATAAATGCCGAGTTTTTTTTTCAATGTCTGAATTCTTTAATTATATGAGAGATGTTCTACAAGAAAATATGCGTGCCAGATTAAGTAAAATGCTATAAAAATAAAAATTCAAAAGAGAAGTATATACATCGAAATATCTGGCATTTTCTCAACATTATTATCTGTATTTACTGTAGCTATTACGTAAGGAAATATGAGTAAGTGACGCATTTACAATTGCGCTTAGACGATTTAATATATCAATTAGGACTGTTTTAATTTGCGAAAAAGATGGATATATCGAAGCTATAGAGCGAGAAGTGCGTGTGCCCCGTTGCGCCCCTTGACCTGCTTTATCGCAGAGGATCGAGGCGGGTGGGAAGGAAGCGCAAAACCGGCGGGGGCTCGCAGGGGGTGGGTACCCCGCCCAGGCACCGCGTTGCATCGCGGAAACTATCGGTCGCCCGTAGTGGGCCGCGCTGCGCCTGTAATCTCCGGGGCCCGTAACCGCTCTTCGGCCGGCGACAAAAAACCGGCGGAGAATGAAATACGGATTACAGTGGTTGGGCCGGGGCCGGATAATGGCCGGATAATGATGACCCCGGCGCCGATTGCCCTCCGCTACCACCGCCCGCCGCGGCCCCGCGGATCACATTTTCCCCGCCTTTTTTCCCGTTTCCCTGCCCCTTCTCACCCGCCCCTCGCCCCTCATCGCGCTTCTTTATCGCGTATCGAGATTTCCATACAAAGTTGCGCCCGACGATCGCCCGCCGTAACGCGCGCCCCGATATCCGCGCGGCGTGCAGTTCGCTGCGTTTCTCACGCGCATCGCGCGCATACGCTCGCGAGTGCATCGGCCTCGTACCGGCATTAAAGGAAAAAGAAGGGATCAAAGAATTTCCGTACAGATCGTTCTGAGACTTTAGGTTTCAACGACTCGAGTCAAGAATTCGGTTTACCGAACACGAGGAAAATTTCTAATCTGACAAAATCTTAATTCAAATGATCTAGTTTGGCTCTGTCACAATTGTGCGACAGTCTCAGTTTGAAGTATCAAAACAGCAGCGAGAGATTATTCGGATTGTAAATCACATTTCACAAAATTTATATTTTGCCCTATTATATATGTCTTTCTTTCAAAGAATTTCCGTACAGATTGTTCTGAGACTTTAGATTTCAGCGACTCGAGTCAAGAACTCGATTTACCGAACGCATTACGACAAATCTCTATAATCTAACAAAATTTTCAAATAATCTTTGATTCTATCACAATTGTGTGACAGTCTCAGTTTGAAGTATCAAAATAGCAGCGATGGATTATTTGGATTGTAAATCACATTTCACAAAATATGTTTTTCCTTCTAATTATTACCATGTGCATTTTATACTATTTACATTATTTACGTTATATATTACGTCTGACACTCGTGTAGTTAATTTTTGTCTCCCTTATTATATATGTGTGAAAGGATTAATCTCGTCAATAAATAAATAAACAGACAAATAAATAAATAAAATGACACTCACGCGGCACCGCTTCGACCGACACTTCGATTAATGTGCTCGAGCGTGTTCGCGCGTGATAGCTGTTCAACATATACGTACAAACACATAACGCCGATTGGTACCGATGAAATAAATCAGGCATCGATCGTGAGGGCACGCGGGGGAGGCCGGCGCGCGGACGCTCTCGCTCGTACAGGTGGAATTAATGCACGAAGATTTCCGATATATCGAGAGCGAGCCGTAAGAATAAATCAGTCGCTGTACGGCGAACACGATTCGCCGCGCCGTGAGCGGCGCGCGAAAGCGCGGGCGACGGAATCGGCCGGGTGAATCGCGGCGTAAACGTACCGCGAACACAGGAAAAAAAATTCATAAAACTCGATCGTCCGCTGAAGCAATTCAGTCGAACGATTCATCGCGATGAGGATCTTAAACGAGACGGGTGGTTTAATCGCTGCAACGAGGACTGCACTGGACGCCTTTCGTAACTCACCTTCCCGGAAATGTATCTTGCAGACGCACCGTGGGGCTTATTTCGTTGCGTTAACTCTTCTCGCGCTTCCTTGTCCGTCGCACCCGTTGATCCGCGGCCAGAGATCGTTTGATCCTCGTGAAACCAATCGGCGAGAGAGGTGCCGCTGTGTCGACAACCGCCGTGCGAACGCGAACATAAATCCAAATTAGCGGCAACGTAACGCGCAATTGTATAACGTGCACTCCGATCGACCCTCATCCCTGTCCGCGTCTTCGAATGACAGTAAATCGCGAGGATCTGTCGGCAGTATCGGTCTCGGTTCATCACTCGATATGATAAATCAAGTAAATAATTTATTAACATTTATTAAACCAGTTTATTATAATAAACCAAGTAAATAATTTATTAACATTTATTAAACTTAAATAATTTATTATTATACAGATATATATTTTTATTATAATATAATTATAGCTAATTGTTTATTAGACACTTATGTTAACGATCGAAAATATTATATCAATACTCGATAAAATCAATACTCTTTAATTGCCACCAAGCCTCTAATGATAATTACAAAAATTTACCTAATATCGGTATAATTTTAGCTAGCTTTTATAATTATATATATATAATTATATTTGTAGCTGCAGACAATTTATACTTTGATTTTATAGTAAACAACTAATAATTTATGTAACAGAAAAAGCCTATATATATAATATAAAATAATATAAAACGTACAAATGTGATAAATATTTTTCATTACCGATAGTCTTGAATTTGGAACTTCGCGTTTCCGTCACACGAGGTCTCTGAATTCATTTCCAATGAGAGCGCCACCCACTGTCAGTGAATCCACGCGAAGGTCACGCGAGTGTCTTTGAGATATTATTGGAAGTGTGCTCTCGCCGAAACGATTTTCACGATCATTTGACGTGAAACGTCCACTGCCGTCGACATGCTGCCCCGATTTCTCAGACCTGTTGTAAATGCCACCCAGCAGGGCGCGAAGCGATTATCCACGAGCGCCACGGTAAAGTATCACTAAAGCGAATCACGAGACTATTCAATCTGTTTTCCGTGAATCGGCTGGAAATTAATTAACATTATCATACGTATCGTGCGAGTAGTGTGATATAATATTTTTCGCTATCTTATCCAATATTATTTTATACTTAATGTGCGACACGAATAGCGTATTCAGCAATAAATGCGCTGTTTTTAGTGCTTAAAGTACGTCATCTTTAAAGCGGTATCTTATTTCTCATAAATCTATATTGGCATATGCTTATTTTATACACACATACACGCATATAAATTCACGTATTTTCATATTGCATATAAGCCGCTGGTGATGCCACGTTTGCTTTAATTGCTCCCATGAATCGTTGGTTTATTAAGATAACTTATGAGAATCTCCAACGACCTTTGACAGCACATATGGCGGGAGAGATATTGCTTGTCACCTATCAGTTACGTGAGAATTTAGTATCGTACATATCATTAGACCGCGATGCTGCAATCGTAATCGGAGCACTGTTATGCAACTGCAAATTTTTCGGCTCCAATGCTGACACGTTCAAATTGACACACGTCAAGACGCTTTCGGAAGTTTATTGCGTAAAAAGAACAAATCTGATGTTATATATAATTTTTTTTATGCTGTAAGAGGCAATCCCTTATGAAAATCCTATATAAAAAAGCAAACTGAATAAAATAAATTGGTTAAAATAACATTGAATTTAACAGACTAGAATTGAAGAAATTTTTAAGTATTAATTGCGAATATAATTGTTTTAAAAAATTAACAGAAACTATATATATATATATTACTTCTTTATCTTTTTTAATCACTAGTTTGAATTCTAGACGAATGGCTAATGGCTTTTTCAGAATGCTAATATCCTGATTCTGTTCCTTTCGCAGCGCGATGCAAAAGTCAGTGTCATGGGGGCAAGCGGTGGCATTGGCCAGCCACTGTCTTTACTTCTCAAACAGTCGCCCCTTGTTACGGAATTGTCGCTGTACGATATTGTGAATACACCTGGTGTTGCCGCCGATCTCTCACATATCAATACCCCTGCGAAAGTTAAAGCCTATAATGGTCCGGAGCAACTTAAAGATTCTCTTAAAGGCGCTCAGGTAAGTTATTATAATACAAAAGATTATGTCAGTATACATATATTGATAAATACAGTTTATGCTACAAATATTTAATAGTTACCTTTACAAGTGTTACTTTTTATTCAACTCATTAAATTGAAAATTAATCGATATCGTTTTGAATTTTCATGATTCATTAATGTTTATGCATTACTTTTAGGTTGTTATCATACCTGCGGGCGTTCCACGTAAACCAGGCATGACCCGCGATGATTTGTTCAATACGAATGCCTCTATTGTCCGCGATCTCATCGCTGCGATGGCTGAGGTCGCGCCAAAGGCCTTTGTAGCGATCATCTCGAATCCGGTCAACAGCACAGTGCCAATCGCGAGTGAAGTACTACAGAAGGCGGGTGTCTACGATCCCAATCGTGTATTTGGAGTGACCACTTTGGACATCGTTAGGGCAAACACATTCATCGGGGAAGCGAAGGTATTCAATATAGCGATGTACATAAAATAATAAAGAAAACATCTTTAACTTGTGTTCTCACACAAGCAGAAATTATCTCAGCTTGCAATTGATACACACATATGTTTCGAAACTATAGCAACAGTAATAAAGTAGACTTCATCTGTTTTGCAACTGCAACAAATGCATCTTAATTACAAGTGTCCAGCTTCAGATTGTTCTACATGCAAAGGATTTAAACATGATTATACATAATATGAGAAAGAAGAGATGATACTAAAATTTATTTATTTTTTTTTTGATAATTCCTTTAATAATTCCATATAAATGCAATGAGTAATCAAGAGTAATATCGAAATGCTTGATTTTTCAGGGCCTTGATCCGCTAAAAGTCAACGTCCCAGTGATTGGTGGACATAGCGGAATCACTATTATTCCGTTGATCTCGCAGTGCACACCGTCGGTTTCCTTTCCGGATGATCAGCTGAAGGCGCTCACCGAGAGGATTCAAGAGGCCGGTACCGAGGTCGTTAAAGCTAAGGCAGGAACCGGATCCGCGACTTTGTCTATGGCTTTTGCCGGCGCACGATTCGGTATTTCATTATTGAGAGCGTTGAAAGGAGAAACGGGTATTATCGAGTGCTCATACGTCAGGTCAAGTGTCACTGACGCCAAATACTTTTCCACGCCGATACTTCTGGGTGTAAGTAGAGATACAAAAATAAATGACACCGCAAAATACGTCCGCTGCCATGTATTTCAAAATGATATTCGAACAAAAAATTATCTCTTTGCATTTATCTTCTAATCAGTGTAAAAAAAATAATTTTTTCATTATGCTATCTGTTTTTAAAAGAATGTAACACATTTTAATGATAATATTTAATTATTGTTATAGAATATTTTATAACAAATATAACCAACTTCGAAAATTTACAAGGGGGCCTATTTCAAATAAAGATTGATAAACATGTGTCTTACTCTTCGTACTATGTCATAACAAATAAAAAAATTGTATGAAATTTCAGAAAAATGGACTCGAGAAGAATTTGGGATTAGGTAAACTAAGCGGCTTCGAGCAGAAACTATTGGATGCCGCTATCCCGGAGCTCAAGAAAAATATTCAAAAGGGAGAAGACTTTGTAAATAAGAAGTGAGAGTCTCTGTCAGGCCTAGCTGGATAGAGCGTGATCCATCGAATTACGCGTGAGAGTTGTCAGCCTTCGTTGCACGTCTTGCAATCATGATCAAGCTATCAAACAATCGAAATTTCTTTTTGACCGTAACAAATGCAAACGTTCGCGCGAAGCGCGAATATATCTTCCATTTGCCCTGATCTGCTGAAATGCATGTAAACGTATAGAATCGTGAAACAAATTATTGAACATTATATATTACAACCGAAGTATGTATTATAAAATGAGAGATGTAGAAATTACGGAGAAAAATTAAATCTACTACTAGTAAGGTATAAAATAAGGAATAAAATAATAGGACTTTGACAATATCCACTTAAGCAAATCCTTGTACAATGTAGCAAAAAATTAACGAATAAAACTCTTTTAACTAACGAATAAAGCTCTTTTAACTAAACGTAAGAAACTTTCTTTTTTATCAAATCTTTATATTTGTTTTCATGAATTAAATTTAAATTCAAATTTTTTTCGAATTATAGTTCGAATTACTGAGTCGAATTACAGTACGATTTGCCTGTGTATTGTGACTTTGACAATTAAATTTTATAAATTTACTTTTCTATTTTAAACGATAGACTATATTCAATAAATCAGGAAATAAACGTAGCGATATAACGAATTTAACTTTAGATTTATACGCGCATGTCGGAAAGCTATATGTATGTATCATTTGTAAACACCAAATCACAATAATACACAAGTAGACAACCTTGAGGTAGGCAGTAACAGATTCTCAGGCGTACAGGTAACAGTAATTCTGTCGGCAATTCGTGCGAAGGTGCAGTGTGATAAACGCGTTTTGAAGCCAAATTAAAATGCAACTTTAATAGAGTGCAAATAGATATTTAATTAATCGCGAGCTCATCTTGTATTAGTGATTATTTGGGCATAAGTATGACGAGACGCAGACTGCACAAACGATCGCGGAAGAGGGCCAAGTTTCACAAGGTGCAGGAGTTCCTTCGGAAGAATGTTCGATCGAAACTCTTTGATTCGAGAAATGAAGACAAAAAAACTACAAGCAACGTGTCGTACGCGCGTCAACGTTCTCCGGAATCGGTGCTGTTCGAATCGCCACGCCCGGACCCGCTCTACAACGAGCTCAGTCCAGAGATCATTCCCAAGCCTTCTCGAACGAGGTCGGTGAACTTAAAAAATTATCCAGAAATCGACGACGGGATCGCCGCGCGGATGATCAACCAATCGAGTCCGATCTCGTCCAAGGGTCGCGAGCCGGAGCTTCCGATGTACGATTTTAAGCACGATACCAAAAGTGTAAATGATTTTTCTAATTTAGGAGACTCCGAGGAACGCGAGCGAAACGCTGCCAAATCGATCGTCGACGACCCGTTTGATCTCGCGGACAGCTCATTCAGTTTATCGTCCTTGAGCAATGAGGCAAACAACAACGCGAATAGAACGGCCGATGTAACGCACGATGAGAGATCCTTATCGAATACCGTCGACAAAGCGGTCTGTCGAAAAAATATCTCGGGGTTAGTGATATCTCGTCCCAACACTCCCAACTTGGAATTCCTGCAATCGCGCGACGATACATACACTTCCGCAAATGTGGGTCCGCCGGGGTCCGCAAATTTCGCCGAAAAACGATCCTCCGGAGTGAGGTCGAATCAACGGAAAAATTGCTATATATTTAAAACGACGGACGATTATTTATTGGACAAGACGATTTCGATAAATGATAATCTCGTGCACGAGGCGATGAACAGTTATCTGGACGAACAATCGTCGACGATCATCGCCAGCAAATTGGGAAGGGATCGTGTCTCAGAATTCCCCGCGCATTTTGAGATCGACGAGCGAAGAGAGCTCGCCAGATCGTCGGTCCGCAGATCCGTCGATGGACCTGACGACGGATCGCGAGACAATCTCGACAAGAATAAGAGAAGAACGTCGTCGAGCGACAACAAAAAATTCGACGTCGCGCTCGAGAAAATTGGCGAACGTTTGACGGCGAACTGGCGCGAGTTCCGGAAGATCTTCGCGTATCTGCGGCGGACGGAGAAAAGGACTCGCAACGAGGACGCAGCCGAACGCGGCGAGTTCTTGTTACACAGATACAGACGACTCCCCTACGCCTCCGTCTCGACATTGTCCCTGCCCGCGTCCGTGCTTTCCTCATCTTCGCCGTTGCCTGCAAAGAGGTACAATCACGATGAGTCTGGCCGCGAGTGCGGAAAATCGAAATGGGAGGAAGCTGAGAAGAGTGGAATTCCGCTGGAATCCACGACGCCTCGCATCGGATTGATGAAACATTGCCGCCGAACGACCTTGACATTTGAGGACGAGAACGAAGGGGAGGCGGCCAGGCACCGGAAACCGGCAACTCGAGCGGATATCACGAATCCACTTTCGAAAGAGAAAAAGGAGAGCGCGGAACGTTCGTTTCCATTAGATCTATTAACGTTCTGCGATGAAACGCAGCATCAAGACAGCCGCATCCCGGAATCAACGATCACCTCGGACATTGAACTATCTGATCGCGAGGGTTGCAGCGACTCCTTGCAAAAAGTATATACCCTGCAAAAAGTTTTATTCGTCATATTATTTGTAATATGAGTATTATAAAGTATTTCTCGCTCGTAACGTGTCGTAATTCAATATAATGTGCATGGAGGAAAAATAGAATCTGACATGAGGAATATACTTTATATCAAAAGTGCCATGTATTTTTACTTTTCCGGTTCTTGATTTTGAGTTACTGCGCGTATTGCACTCAATACGAATGTATGTGCACTTTATACAAATTTGCCCACACGATAATTTAAAATTTCTTTCTGTGTGTTTTCCAATAATCAGATAGATTATCATTGGAATGGCACTCAGGAGCATCAAGCGCCCGAAAATGTTGCAACGCTTCGAGCCCCTCGCAGCCACGTGTCTCGACGAAGAAACATTTCCCGCACGATAGTCACGTGGTTGATCGCTATCTGCATTTGGCTGATAAAGAAATTGCTGCATCTCGTAAATGTCGTAAGTTTCTTGGAATTTGTTCAAAATAAAGATTCACGTTTCCTCACTGCAGCCATATTGAATTACAGCCGAATCTATTTTTAACATTGAAATCAAACGAATTCCGTACTTTTAGCACGTAGAAAATAAAAGCATAGAAATAGTTTTTTTATAAATAACTTGATACCAATTTTTTTCAGAATTATAAGAAGCTATGGCAGAAATTGATCATCTCGCCTTCGTCGAGTTTTTGGGCAAAGAAATCCGATCATCTGATGGAAACAATGCGTTCTGAAAAGAAAATATTACATGCCATGTCGGAGAAAATGATGAGACTTTCGGAAGATTTCGTCCAGGTAAAATTACAAATTTTTCAAATTTATTATTTACTCTATGAAGCTGAATATGCTCTTGCTTTTATAAGATAATCATATTATTTTTTAAATATAAGTGTAATAAATATTTACGTGTATTTAAAAATCTGTATATTAATATTATATATTCTTGGTCCTAGATACGAACGAACATCGAAGCCACTCTTAATGCTCTGACAGCCGAGATGAACGCCTTTCGTGAAACTGGTAAAAAAATGACGGATGATAATATGGCATTGCTGCAGGAGCTGAAGAAATTGCGTGATACGTTAGAGGAAGTTCGAATGAAATCTTTGCAACCGGTTCTTTTACCTTCTTCGGGTTCTACAACTTCCCCTGTTTCACCTCCGCTTCCACCTCCACCTTCACCTCCACCACTCCCTCTTCCTCCTCCTCCACCGCTACCATCTTTGGTATTTCCTCCGCTGCCGCCGCCACCACCACCATCACCACCGCCACCGCCACCACCGCCACCACCACCGCCACCGCTACCTCTTTCATTTCCTCCAAAAGCATATACTTCGGAATCAGCATCATCAATACCACCCCCGCCCCCTCTCCTCCCTTCGACTTCTTTGCAATCTTCAATGCCATTGATACAACCGACAACTCCCAACAATAGCAGAAGTAACAAGAACAGGACACCCACAAGAAAGTGTTCCACGCCATTGTTCAACAGGCCTAGCATCACCGTCGAGGACTTATTGAAAGTCACTTTGAGAAAGGCTCCACAAAACATTCACAAAGTACTATCCAAATTCTGCAGAAATAGATAAGATTGCATCATGATAAAATCGTGAATATAAATTCCCGAGAATGATTGTCTTCGATTTTTAATTTCTGAATCACACGAGAATTAAACTGAAGTTATAGGCTAATGTGAAATTCATATAAGATCGGATCAGAAAGTTATATATAGCATCCTCCATTAAAAAATATATATATATAATCCAAAATCTTTAGAAGTTATAAAAATAATTAAATCGAAAATAATCATGTCGAGAGAAATTAAAATATTAAACTTTAAGTATAATGCGAAAGAAAATTGTTTTTTTGTTTCAATCCTTGTTAAAAAATTAATGTGTGCAGCGTATGACAAATTACGTTCTTTTTAATTAATTTTGAATTTCTTAGCAATTCGACATTTTCTTATTAACATTTAATGACTGAGAATTAATATTGAAATAACGGAAAAAAGTATTGAAATATTAAAAATAAATTATTCTATTTCATACATTTCAGGAAAACAGACGAAACACTGTACCAGCCTCAAAAGGTCCAGTCGTGTCCTTGGAAATGTTGCGCAACGTAAAGCTAAAATCTGCGAAGCGTAGACCTAATGATCAAACTGGAAAATCGCCCAGAAACGGCCGAGTCGTTAAAGGCCGAACCGCGTCGAATATCACTCTCTCGCCGATCTTGACCGGATCGGAGGATAATTTGGAGCGGATCCTGCGGCGAGTTGATCTGAATAGACCAAGGAGATTATTATCTGGCTCAAGTAGCTTTCGCGAACGCGATTTTACGAAAGAAACGCAATATCAGTCGTTAGAAACACTGTCGTATAGCAAATCCACGTTTGAATAACTGCAGTGTCAAATATATGTATTGTGACATCGGAAACAAGAAATTTACATGAAATTTTTAAAAGAAAAAACTATACGTTAAAATAATTTCTCGTCTTGCATATCATAAACATATTAGATATGTCAGATTTATGACATTTTATAAAAATTTAAAAATATAATTTAAAAGGATTTTTTTATTTTATTAAAGAAAAATTAGAAAAAAATTAATTTATAACGATATATGCAAGGAAAAGAAATTGAATTCTCACTTCTGATGTCATTATCTAATTGACTGCAATAAAAGATGATTAAAAGCTTAAAAAATTTAAATTATGTTAACACAGACGTATGACATATTCGTCATCTAAAATTAAAATACCTAATTTATATTCAAATATTTAATATTAATGTTTAACAGACGAGCTCAAAGCTCTTTTCGCTGCGCAATTTTTCTGTAACTGGCTGGCCGAAAATTTAAATTGATCTTTTTAATAAAACTGTGACCAAGGCATAGATTTGTAATTACTTTATTTGTAGCTTTCATGTGTGTGGTTTTACAGAAAAAAAGATTGTATCCGGTGTATTCGCATCGATTGTAATACAGAGCGTAAGAACGCATGCGGATCCAAGAATGTAAAATCAATTCCTCCGAACGATGATGAAAAAAGCATTGCGCACTGTTATTTGTTCATAGCGATCAGTAATGTATCGAAACCAATGAAATCGAACAGATCCAATGGTGGTTTGAAATTTACATAGTTTGTCGAAATGATCCAGATGGTCTCTGATTAATGTTTCACGATAATGTAATAAACCGGTAATGTATTGCCCGGTCGAGCTAATAATTCATCGGCGTTCAGAGATCGCTACCATCCATTCGTTGCCACCTGACGCGGTTCTTTATTTTTTTTCTTTTTACTTTTATGTAGCTAAATTCCTTAAAACACTTTGTCGCACAGATACATGCTATGTACTTGAGAAATATATTTATATATTTATATATATGCGCGTGCGTTTTACAGCCTACGACGGCATCCGCCTCGCTCCGCAGTTCTTAATTTAGAGCTCTGTTTACCTTGCACACAGTTTTCGCGCGATTTAATCTTCTCGATTATAATCGACTCGATCATATCATATACTCGAGCTATTGATGTTACTACCCGAGTCACTATCGGATGATCCCGCGCATCGAAATTATTTCTTCGTTTCTTTCTGTCCTTCTCTTTTTAGCCTACTTATTACGGTTCTTACAATTACATTCGCAAATATACTTACTTACTTTACGAGAGCCGGTTGATATTATTTTGAATTAATTCTCATAACGTGTGTCATTTTTAACATGATTATCAATTTTATCGTTACAATACCTAAATACAGGAGCACGATGGACACCAATTATTTTTCTGCATTTTCGTCTTCCTCGCGGAGAGGTTGCGATCCGCGTTATTTCTCGCCGGATTATGCTTTTCTTGTTGTTGCCGAACGCCTTGCTTCTCTCTGCTGCGTTTAAATTCGGCATCTCCCCTCCGTCACGTTATCAGCGAGAAAACTGAGTGAGCTTTAAATGGATTTTGGTAGTTCTAGCTATATAATAAGTAGATAAGTTTAATGCGTAAAATGGTCAATAACTAGCTAAGCTTACCTCATCGATCTGAAGAAAGGATACTTTTCACTGTAAATCTCTACGATCCCGATAGACTCCTCATTATACAAGAACAATGGAATGTCTCAACGTAAAAATCGATGGAATGGCTCGTCGATGAATCGGCGAATGGATAATTACAAATACTGATTCCGACTATCGTCCATCCGGAAGGGAAAGACGAGGATAGAGAAATATGAATATATTTATAATATATATATATAATATATATAGAGCGTAAATTGCGTGTGTAAATGTGCGGGTGGAAAAAGTCGGGGTACAGTCATTTATTCTGTTCTTATACCACAGCAATCGATATTTAGTTTACACAACGGGCGTATGAAAACGTACAACCACATTACAGACTAGCTAGATAGTTACTTTGTTTGCTGTGAGTAACGTAACGCGCTAAAAAGGCTCACCTACGATAACGTAATCTTTTTCATTTTCCCCCTTCTTTCTTTCTTTTTTTTCACCTTTTTTTTCTATCACGCTGCTGCTCATCGAGCTGACGCGATGGGACGCACTCGCCTCGGAAGAGATGCGTGAAAGGATCGGAAATCGAGAGATTTCGCCGTCAGAGAATGATTCGATGACATACGACGCTTTACCGCTTCTCGCTCACACGTTACAGAGCTCCTTCGCGACGCGGTCTCCATACGAAAGCTCACAAAATCAGGCGTTATTGCATTTGACGAGGTACAGAGTGGGGTGGGGGAAGGGGAGAGAGGGTGTAATCGAAGTAAGCACATTCTCTTCTCCTCAGCTCGGCTCTATGCCAAGAATCCATGCATTTAAAATTTTTCTTTTCGGCTATCTATAACATTACAATCATATAGGATCCTGTCGGAAGTACATATCTTATTACAGGGTACAAGCTCGAAAGCGAGGTCTGTCTTGACAAACAACTGACAAGGAGGGCGCCGCCGTTATTTCCGTAAAGAGAGAGAGAGAGAGAAAAAGAGAGAGAAAGAGGAGAGCACGGGGAGAGAAAGAGAGGAGACACGCGCGAATTATCTTCAAAATAAATCGATTTACACGCACACGCTAACAAACACCGTAATAATTATAGTGCGCGCGGGATGAAGTCGTGCGCGCGATAAAAAAAGAAACGAGGAACGAAAAGGGGAAGATTGGAGGAGAACTCCAGGTGGTGGAGATGTAAGAAACGGACAAACATGTAAATATATCCCGGTATATTGATGTCATGCAATCCATACGCGCCTTTTTGTTCCTCTTTCACTATTGTTAAAACATAGGACACATAATTCGTTCTCATTCACCGTGGATGGAAATAAAATCTGAATTGCCGAGGCTAAATACCGACCGGCGCCGGCATCGACGTCGGCTCGACGACGTTCACGACTTCCTCGACGTCGCGTTCGCGCGTAACGTAACTTCAATCGAACGCATGCGAAGTGCAAACACAGCGATTTCCTCTCGATACGCAAAAACGGGGCAATGGAAAAGTGCCTTTCTCCTAAATGCTTTGCAGTCTCACTATTTTACCGCAAGGTGCGTGTCCTTTTGTTTCGTTACTTTCTGCGTGCTCTGTAACTCAATGTGTATATATATATATGTGTACGTAATATAATGCCGAATGAACTGAATGATTTATTTTATTATTAATTTCTGTTGCTGTTGTATTTTGTAGTCACTGCTGCTGTTGCTCTGTTTTGAAGTAACCATACGGTGCGTGCTTTTTTTTTTTTTTAAAGAGGGTCACGCAAATTTCTAAAGATCTCCCCTTCCCACCCCGAACTGCCACCTGCTGAATTGGTTTTTTTTCTTTTGCTTACGAGTTATTTAAGAGTTTTTTCTTGTGTCTCAGTTTTATATGCGCAAGATAACACTCACTACAGCTAGAGTTACGATACGTCCTGGTCTTCCACATCCTGCAGCTGCTCCTTTTGTTCAGCTTCACCTGCGCAACAAAAATACGGATGTTATGTCAGTAAATAATCCAGTTGAACGCACCTAAACAATGCATGTCAAAGTAAATTATGTTTGGCAAGTGAAACAATTTAATGAGATAATTTTAAATAAATTTGTTTTGTGACATTTTTTTTTCCTTTTTAATATAGTCATGATTGTGTAAGAAATATATCGCTCACCATGTACATACATGCTGGGAGGATGAGGACGTTAGGAAAAGGGTATATCTACGTTCAGGCATCGTGGGTATCAACTGCGCTATCATCTTGTTGATCAAACTCGGATTCTGAATTATAAAGTAATGATTCTACGTTCGAAAACCGCATGCACAATTTGTGATTTCTTATAGGTCGAAATAAATTAAAAGTAAGTTTACAACAGAAACAAATACATAAATATGAAACGACAGAAATCCCCAGAATGTCCCATAGATCTTAATTTTAATAACTGTGTTCTGATGAATTCGAAATATCAAATCTTTTCATTTTCTTCAGAGAAAATGTTGAATCATCCATAATACTCATATTGTATTAAAAATTTATATAAAATTAAAAAAAGAATCAACATTTATTGAATAACTATGTATAAGTTTATAGTTTAATAAATTATTCCCCGTATATAAAATTACAAGATTTGTAAAGTTATGTCGCCGATAATTTAAACAATTTTATCAATTATACATTTTTAATTTTCAGTCAAGAATATTCGCCTACTTTATTCTAGCGCAACAAATTCAAAAGTAAAAAGGATCACAGATAAAAGATCTAATAAAAGAGGTAAACAATTTTTTATCGTTTTCTAGAATTCAATAAAAGTTATGTTCATTGAAGAGAAAAAGTTTTGCATCATCTTTTTCCAGTCGCGAGGGAGCACGTAGCTTCTGGGACACCCTAGGTAAAGGTGCGTGAGACGAGAGTAGCCGAGATAAGATCATTCTATGACAAAGCATTCGTCTGCGTGTCGATCGATCGAGAACCAGGTGGAGTATGTCGCACAACGCGTTCTAGCGTAATCAAAACATCCCTCTAGCGATTTTGCCTCGATAAGTAAATGGGACACTAACCGTCTCCTTGCATATCCGACGTCCACAGGGTGAGGTTGTCCCTGAGGAGTTGCATTATGAGGGTGGAATCTTTGTAACTCTCCTCAGACAGCGTGTCCAGTTCGGCGATCGCGTCGTCGAAGGCCGCCTTCGCCAAGCGACATGCTCTGTCAGGGCTGTTGAGGATCTCGTAATAGAACACGGAGAAGTTGAGCGCTAATCCCAGGCGAATGGGATGAGTCGGCGGTAGTTCCGTCATGGCGATATCACTCGCTGCTTTGTATGCCACCAGGGAATTCTCCGCCGCTTCCTTTCTGTCGTTACCGATGGCAAATTCTGCCAAGTAACGATGATAATCACCTTTCCTGAAAGCATATCAACGGTGGATTAATATCAACATATCGTATGCCGAAATATAATACGGTTCAGCCGTTCAACAGAACGTTTCACAACCTATCTTAAGATTATAGTTAATATTAAAATTATGTTAAATAAAATATTTTAAATTTTTTGTTCCAGAATTATAATATGAATAGTGAATGGTTTTATGGACGATTGCACAGAATGTACAAACGGATTCTTACATTTTATAATAGAAGACTTTGGATTCTCCCGTAGAAGCGCACGGTATCAGATGCTTATCCAAGACGCCGAGGATATCGGCGCAAATATCCCTGAGCTCCTTTTCCACTTGAGATCGGTATTGGCGGATCATCTCTAGTTTTCCCTCGGCACCCTTGTTCTCCTCCTTTTGCTCGATGCTCGAGATTATTCTCCAGGAGGCTCTCCTTGCTCCGATCACATTTTTGTACGCTACCGAAAGGAGATTCCTCTCTTCAACGGTGAGTTCTACGTCCAACGAAGCCACCTTCTTCATCGCCTCAACCATTTCTGCAAACAACATCGGCAAACAATATCGTTGATGAAGTTCATCGACTTGTCATATGCTATAAGGTGACTTACTTAAGCATTATATAAAAAATTATAATTAGAATAAATGTAAACTGTACGTATATAAAAGAAACGTCACGTGAAAAGCTATAATTCTCTATGACAAAAACTAATTTCGTTCTATTAAACAAATATTATTTCTTTAAAACAAATACTAATATAATATGCAATAAAAACCATCTTCGGAGTAACGGAAGTCACTTTCTAAGGAACAAAAATACTGT